CATTTAAAGAGAATGCTGCAAGTACAGTAGAGGTGAAAGTTTGACTTGGCTAAATAAAGCACCTACACTATTTCTGTTGATGGAGTGCAAATGAGAAACCCAAATCCAATGAGATTCATAAAAGGCGCCTGCATTGCTGAGCACTTTGTCGATAAATGTTAGTGGCAATCATAACACTGTCAGAATGATGTGCTCTGACGTGGCCAGTTCAGCACTGTGACTGTGAAGGACAACAGGGAGACAAAGCTAATCCATCTAAACACATCTGAAGCTGGACGCCATCACCTCTCACAGCACTGATCCAAAACCAATGAATTAAAGGGTTAGTTCACCCAAAAATTTAAATTCTGTCATTAATTACTCACCCTCATGTCATTTCAAACCCGTAAGACCTTTGTTCATCTTCAGAACACAAATGAAGTTATTTTTGATGGAATCTGAGAGCTGTCTGACCCTGCATAGACAGCAACGCAACTGAAATGTTCCCAAGTCCAGAAACATAGCAAGGAGATCTGTAAAATAATCCATGTGACATCAGTGGTTCATCCGCAATTATACGAAGCTATGAGAATACTTTTTGTGTGCAAAAGAAAAGAAAAAAAAGACTTTATTCAACAATTCGTCTCTTCCGCATCACCCTGGTGCCATTTTGGAGAATATCCGCTGGACGTAAACAATGTATGCTGTTCTGTGTCAGCTGCGTCACACGGATACGCTGTTTCCGTTCAGATCAAATCACAACAACATAGGAAACAGATCCGGCGTGACGCAGCTGACACAGAATAGCATACGTTGTTTCCGTCCAGCAGATATTCTCCAAAATGGCACCAGGGTGATGAGGAGGAGACGATGACGATTGTTAAATAAAGTTTTTTTTTCTTTTTCTTTTGTGCACAAAAAGTATTCTCGTAGCTTCGTACAATTGCGGTTGAACCCCTGATGTCACAGGGATAATTTTACAGATCTCCTTGCTACGTTTCTGGACTTGGGAACATTTCAGTTGCGTTGCTGTCTATGCAGGGTCAGACAGCTCTCAGATTCCATCAAAAATAACTTAATTTGTGTTCCGAAGATGAACGAAAGTCTTACGGGTTTGAAACGACATGAGGGTGAGTAATTAATGACAGAATTTGCATTTTTGGGTGAACTAACCCTTTAAGTCTGAACAACTAAAACAATATACCACTTGTTCCTTTCTGACAAAATTACAAATGAAGTATTAAGATACAATTCACTATTATTTCCTAGGGTTAAGTGATTTACTGAAAATTCAAGGTGTATGCGTGATAATTTTGTTGGTTAGATCAAATTAAGCATTGTTACAAATATTGCAACTGTTGTCTTTGTTGCAAGGCTGAAAAATATAGCAATAACTTTTTTTTAGCTATACTGCCCAGCCCAATTGTTCGCACATTCTTTGTAAAGACATATTGTTTCTCTGGGAATCTTTGTACATTACTACTGAGACATATTTTAGACTGTAAAAGAAAACAATATCTGCTACATTTCTGCCCAAAGGTAATTGCAAAGGGCACATGAAAACTCCTCTTCATTCCCAGGTTAGTAAGAAGGCGAAATGCTTATTTAAAACCTTCAGAGGAGAAGATGAAGCACCCTGACTTGGGGGGGGGGGGGGGGGGG